GCATCCACGGACGATGGCACGCTACAGTCCCGACTAGGTGAGCTGCAGAGGGCTGGGCTGTGGCCACAGGAGGACTGGGGACTGTGCAATTCCAAAGGAAACGAAGCTGGGGAGATCCTGACCCTACCCTTGTGAGAGTCAAGGCACAGAGTCGGTCCCCCATGAGAGCTGCCCCCCAAACCCACTCCCTGCTCACAGCCCTCAACACCACCCTCGCACACTGGCTCCAGCTGCCAGCTTGTCCGTGACTCTCTTAGTGTCAAAATGGACAAAAGTCTATGGAAGTTTTTAAACTGATTTTCTGACAGTGAAAGTGGCAGGTTTATGATAGAAAGGAAAACAAAATCAAACATCAAGTCTAATCTCTTGATAAAGAGAAATTTTGGCTGGGCACGGTGGCTCACACCTGTAATCCCAGCACTTTGGGAGGCCGAGGTGGGCGGATCACCTGCGGTCAGGAGTTCAAGACCAGCCTGGCCAACATGGCAAAACCCTGTCTCTACTAAAAATACAAAAATTAGGAGGGCGTGGTGATAGATGTCTGTAATCCCAGCTACTCGGGGAGGCTGAGGCAGGAGAATTGCTTGAACCTGAGAAGCAGAGGTTGCAGTGAGCCAAGATTGAGCCACTGCACTCTAGCCTGAGCGACAGACCGAGACTCTATCTCAAAAAAAATAAAGTATACTGGTTTTGAAAAACTTTTATGTTAATATTCCACTGACAGTTAATGGACTTTTCCCTATTGGACGTTTAGCTTGGAGTACCTGCATACACACGCCCACTTAGGGAAATCAGCCCGTGTGTGCACATTTGAAATGTGGGCGTGTCCTTTTTTTCCTTCTAAAAGTGATTTCACTCCATCACCCAGGCTGGAGTGCAGTGGCGTGATCGTCGCCTCAAATTCCTGGGCTCAAGTGATCCTCTCACCTCAGCCTCCTGAGTAGCTGGGACTACAGACGCACACCACCACATCTGGCTGATTTTTTATTTTTGTCTTTGTAGAGATGGGGTCTCCCTGTGTTGCCCAGCCTGGTCTTGAGCTCCTGGCCTCAAACAGCCCTCCCACCTCAGCCTCCCAAAGCGCTGGAATTACAGGCGTGAACCACTGCGCCGGGACCATCTTTTTGTTTTATCTTCCTGAGTCAAAGCGTCTTCTGGCCTTTTCATAAATACGGGTTTCAGGCCCAGCAGTAACTCAGATGGCCTCCTTGAAGGGTAGTGTTCATGTACTTCGATCAGAAACACTGTCCTAGTCAGAACAGACGGGTGTCCCTGCAGGCTGGGACTGCTCTTTTGTTCCCCATGGATGTCTTTTTTTTTTTTTTGAGATGGAGTTTCACTCTTGTTGCCCAGGCTAGAGTGCAGTGGCGCAATCTCGGCCCACTGCAACCTCCGCCTCCCAGGTTCAAGCGATTCTCCTGCCTTAGCCTCCCGAGCAGCTGGGATTATAGGCACCCACCACCAAGCCTGGCTAATTGTTTTATACTTTGAGTAGAGACAGGGTTTCTCCACATCGGTCAGGCTTGTCTCAAAACCTCTGACCTCAGGTGATCCACCCACCTTGGCCTCCCAGATTACAGGCATAAGCCACCGTGCCCGGCCTTATGGACATCTTGTGTTTTTCCTTTTGTCTCGTGAAAATGTTCAAATGTCAGTGGAAGGAGAGGGCATAGAGCGCTGAGCCCCCAGGTCATCCCCTCTGCCTGGGTCATCAGCCTGTAGCCCCGTGGCAGCAGTGCCCTCCCCAGCCTCGGGGAGAGCAGGATCACCCCTGTCTTTCTCCCACTCGGCCTCTGAGGTGGGCACCTGGGCTCAGGGAGATCTGTTTGCTGAGTCGGGGCAGGGGGACAAGTTTCCGACCCTCTCCAGGCCTGCTCCAGTGGGGAGAGGCGGCCGGCAGGAAGACAGGGGCTTGGCTGAGTCCGTGGGGTGGGCCCAGGCCTGGTGCGGGGCTGTTCCATCCTCTAGAGAGTCAGGGCCCTCCCATTTCCCTCCGTAATCTGCTGCCCTCAGTCCTCTTGTCCCCTCTCCATGGAAGCGCTAAGCTGTGGTCCTACCCTGCCTTCTCCTAAGGAATCCAGAGGGCAGGGCTGGCCCACTCCGGGGAGGCCAGTCAGGAGGGCGTGGACTCCCACGGAGGCCGATGTCTCACAACACAGGAAGCGCACACACCTTGAGTGTCAGTCCCTGCCTCCCGCAGCCCACCCTGTGCTCGTCTCATCCCCCCTTCTCCACGGGAACTGCCATCCTGGTGCCCCCCTGTGTGGACCAAACACAACCTCCCACAAACTGCATGTGGCCTCTGGCCACTAATCTGCAGCACCAGCCTGTGCGGCCACCCACAGTTGTGGCCTTCAGTGGTCCGGCTAGGGGAGGAGGAGCCCCGCCCCGGGAGCAGGTGTGCCAGGGCTGGCCTCAGGAGAAGTCTTGCTCTGTGGGTAGGTCCTGGGAGGATCATGGGCTTTTGCGCGCTGATGTTGCTTTCCCTCTGGACTGTGTTGGCTCTCAGAGCTGCCTGTTTGGGAGGTGGCCGGGGTGGGGGCCAGGGCTGAGTGGCCTTGCTGGTTGCAGTGATGCGGACCCAAGGGAGCCTGCGACTGATCCTCAACACCAAGCTCTGGGCCCAGATGCAGATCGACAAGGCCAGCGAGAAGAGCATCCGCATCACAGCCATGGACACCGAGGACCAGGGCGTGAAGGTTTTCCTGATCTCGGTGAGCCAGCCACGTGGGTGCATCTGGGGCCCCTCATCCCGCCGGCCATGTGGGGGTTCCTGGGCACACAGATAAGCAGGACGGTGGGGAGGGGAGCAGGGAGGGGCCTCAGGTGCTGCCTGGGACACCAGAAGCACTATGGGACCTGCCAGTCCCAGCCTTCAGGAATAGAGATCATGTTCCTCGTCCTCTTCTCACCCCAGAGAAGCCGCTGGGGTTTGGCTGAGGGGTTGTGATGTGTTCAAGGCTAAAAGCCCTGTGGGATGGTCACCTCTGTCCTGTGTCATGGTGTCACAGTCAAGTCCACCAACCCTGACCTCTGGGATACTCCCAGCCACCTGGGAGTGGTGGCATCCTTTCAGGGAGAGGCCGGCAGGCCCAGGGCCCGGGGCCGGTGGCCTCCCCACAAGGCCTTGTGGCAGTGTCACCTCTGAACCTTGGGACTTGGCACTTGTGTTCTGCAGAAGACAGGAGAGGGTAGGACTGGGGTCCGGGGATCTCATACCCTCCTCCCGTCCCAGGCCAGCTCCAAGGACACGGGTCAGCTGTACGCAGCCCTGCACCACCGCATCCTGGCCCTGCGCAGCCGTGTGGAGCAGGAGCAGGAGGCCAAGATGCCCGCGCCTGAACCTGGGGCAGCCCCGTCCAACGAGGAGGATGACAGCGACGATGACGATGTCCTGGCTCCTTCAGGGGCCACCGCAGCTGGTGAGTCTGGTGGTCCCTACCCTGGGGGGATAAAAGGAGCTGCCCACCATCCTTGATCCAGTGCTGATCTCCTAGCGGGGGTGGCCAGACCTGGGAAGTGCGGGCTCCATCCTGACGCAGGGCTGCTGCTTCCCTGCAGGTGCTGGCGACGAAGGGGACGGGCAGACGACCGGGAGCACATAGCGGCCGGGAGCCCGGCTGCACACCAGGCTGCTGCTTTGTCCGTCTGTCCGCCTGCCCACCCGCCCCCACCCCGCAGGCAGCGTCCAGGTGCGGGGCCGGGAACCACACACCCCGCTGGGCCGGCCACAGTCTGGACCCGCACGTCCTGTTCAAAAGCAGACTCGGGAACTGCCTGAATGTGGTTTGGGACATGAGACCTCATCATATTGATGAGCAAAACAAACAAGAACATTTCCTCCCTCCCCTCCTTCGAATTGAAATGGCACATTAAGACTTGTCACGGCTTCTCACTGGGACTGGAGACCTCGTTCCTTCACCCTGCGTGTCGCCAGCCTCTGGGTCCAGCCAGAGCCCCTGGCTTCTCCGCTGCCCACACCCTTCCCTCCCTGCTGTGGGGCCCCGCCCTTGTGGGGAGCAGCTGGCCCTCTGCCCCTGCCTGGGGCTCCCCGACTACAGTCCTGGGACCCCCGCCCAGCCTGGGGACTGCTCTGAGTGTAGACACTGGGCCCATTGGACATGCTGTTAACTACTATCTTCATTTCCCACTTCCCCTCTCTGATTGGGGGTGTATATTTTACATCTGTTTTTCTTTTTATTTTCAAAGGCTTTGTTTTGGTTTCTTAGGTTAAGATGCTCTCAAGCGTTGAGCAGGCACAGCTCCGTTGAGGTCCCTGTCCCCCACCTGTGGTTCTGGCCTCTGAGGTTGGGGGGTCACTTGTTTCCCACCCCAGGTACCTCCAGGCTGAGTCACAGGGTGATGAGGAGTTGGGGCCCTGTCTGTCCTAGGCCTGGAGAGTGCCTATCTAGGAAAAGGTCACTGGACCTGGAAGGGTCCCCAGGGTCCCCTGACTCCTGTCTCCATCTGTCACGTGGTTCACCATCATCAGGCACCAGGCGCAAACTGCTTCCGCTGTTGGCCATCCCTTCCCCAGCCGCAGGTGTCACTGCCCCCAGGACTGTCCAGGGCCAGGGGCCTCTGAGAGGCAGAGGGGTACCCTCACCAGGTCTTGGTGGAAGAGCCAGGGGGCTGGTCCCAGAATAGGCGGTCTCACAAGCACGCAGCACACTGGAGTGGACGCCTGTGCCCACCTGACCCTGGGGTGTGGCCAAGAGCCAGCTGGCACCACCCACCTAGGGAGGCTGAGGAGGAGGTCCCCTGGGCACAGGGCCTCTTTGGGACTTCAGAGGAAATCTCCCAGCCCCACCCTCGGAGGGTTAAGAGAAGACCTCCTGCAGCTGTGCCGCCCACACCTCTTGGTCGCCAGAGCCCTGGCCCACAGCCCCCAGCAAGCCTGAGCCAGGGAAGAACCAGAGGCCCTCCCGAGAGACCCAGTCACACGTCTCTGCTTTAAGCCTTAGCCAGCTAGTGACGAGTACAACGAGATAACGCCCATGTGTTTTGGAACATTTATGTAAGATTGTCATATGAAATGTATTTGGGAACTACATTAAACTTTTAACTAAAACCCCGGCCTCTGCATGCGCCAGGGGCCTCAGGAAGCCCCTGACCAGGAATGGCCTCCACCTCCCCGGGCCAGGACCTCCGGCAGCCTGGGGCCTCATGCTCCCACCCCACGTGTCACCAGCACTGGAATCCAGCCACAGCCCTGGTCTCTCCATCGCCACCCACACTTTACCCCCAACCCCCCTGCAGGTCTTCTGCCCCCGCCCAGGGCTCCCAGCCTGGGGCTGCTCATGAGAGTGTAGACACGGGGCTCGCTGGACATGTGAACTACTATTGTATTCCCCATTGCCATCTTCTGATTGGGGGTTGATGTTTTACAGATGTTTTTTTCAAAGGCTTTTTTTTTGTTGTTTCTGAGGTTAGGATGCCCCCTTGCCCCTCGCTCCACACCTGGGCAGGTCCAGACTGCCTTCCAGGATAGCCTCCACGCACCGCCTCCCACCTGGGCTTGCCTGGCTTCCTGGGGGACGCGCAAGGGAGGGGTGGGGAGCAGCAGGCCGGGTGGGGGGATCAGGGGACCTTGGCGGGGGCATCCGCAGGGGCTGCAAGGCCTCAGGTCAGCATGGCGTGGGTGGGGACAGCTTTTCTCCCTGGGGTCCTAAGCCAGTGACTCGTGTTAGGACCTTTGTCCCTCCTCCCCCTGGTGGCCCAGCAGGGACCTGGTCTAGCCGGTCCTGCAGCCTCTATTCCCCCACCTGCCCCTCCCCGCTCTGTGGTGTGGCTGCCCAGGAGAGAAGAGGCCCAGGGAAGGGAGGTCTCCAGCGGGGGTGGGGGTGACAGGCCAGGGCAGCAGGGCTGAGCCCGGAGCTGCTCACAGCTGCCAGGCACTGGTCATCATGGCCACGAACTCCTCATCTGTGTTCATGGAGGCACTCACGCCGCTGTAGTAGTCCTGGAATTCCGCCAGCGTGACCTGGGAACAGAGGGCCATGAGGGGGCGGCCCAGGAACTGCCTGGGGAGGGGACCCCCTGCGCAGACACCCACCTGCCCGTCCTTCTCAGAGGAGTCGAAGTTGTCCAGGAAGCGGCGCAGCACCTCGTCCTCGGTCCACTCCCCACTGCGCACCTTGGGGTGGGCACGGCCACTGTACACCCCGCGGAGGTCGTCCACTGTCACTACGCCGTCCCCACTGCGGTCCAGCTTGGCAAATGCAGCTGCGATGACTGCCTCCCGGGCCTGGGACATGGGGGGCTAGGACAGAAGATGGTGACTGGGGGTGCTGGGTAGCAGACCCAAACCCCCAGGACACTGCAGAGCACCGGGGCTGTCACCCCAGCAGGCGCCTCTTAGCAGCTCTTGGGGAGGAGTCCCCTGTCTCCACATCTCAGCATCCTCTGTCGCCTCATGCCCAGGGCACACGCCTTGACTGCGAGGTGGGGGCTCACCCGCAGCGCCCGAAGGAACTCCTCCAGATCCAGCGTCCCGCTGCCGTCGCGGTCCCACCTCCTGCACACACCCTCTGCCTCCGTCTGGTCCAGCACCAGCCCGAGTTTGGCCAGACCCCGCCCGAACTCGTCAGCATCCAGGGATCTGCTCCCGTCCCGGTCTAGTTGGCGGAAAAACCTGGGGACAGGGGACACGGTTGGAACAGTGGTCTCAGGGGCCAGAGTCAGGAAGGTGAGAGGGGACAGCTCACCTGGCCAGGCCCTGGATGCCCGAGGCCCCGCGGGACAGGCACTGCGCCCGGAGTTTCTCCATGGTGGCGTCCACAGCGTCCATGCTGGGTCTGGGCTCTCTGGGCAGCTGGAAAGGGGAGAGGTCAAGGTGGGGACTCCCGCAAGCCCGCCCTGGCCAACTGCCCCTTGTTCAGACGCTCTCACCTGGCCTGCGTCTGTCCCAGAGTCCTGCCTGCCGGGCCTTCTGTTAGCTGTGTCGTGCCTGGGGAGACTGTTGCTAGCGGGAGGTGCCTCTGGAGATGGGGCGGGGCCCAGCTGCATGAATGCACTGTGCTGGCGGACAGTGGATGGGGGGGAGAAGGGAGGGGAGGGGAAGAGAAGGGGAGGGGAGGGATGGGTGCACCCAGCCTGACTGCTTACTCAA